CCACCCTCCTCCCTTTCCTCCTCCGGGCAAATCTCCAATCTCTGGAGTGTGTTGGCTGCTGAGTGAAGAGGTGGAGGGCAGATTAAGATAGAGACCCATTAGGTTTTTGTACGTGTGTTTTGATTTGCATCTGCATAATGTATTATCCCTCGTGTTTTTTTTTTTGCATTTTGCATTTTGTATGTGTTTGTGTATATATACGGTGGGGGGAGGATATTCAGTCGGTGTGCGTGGGTTGAAGTGTGCCCAGTGTGTGTCTTTCAAACCATATTGCTTCCAGTCACCCCCTCCATTCTGCTATGGTTGGGTTACAATAATTGACTTTGTGCATATAAGAGAGCGTGTGTTTCTTGAGAATTTGCATTCATTTCCAGAGCCCTTTCCCTTATTATCACACCCCTTCTTTACTCTCTCTTTCTTAAACCCTCAATTGCGCCTCTTCCTCGAATCCCAGACGTGACCCACATGTTACGATGCAGCGCGGAGGGTAGAGAATACGTCTTGAGTGCTGCTCTCCTTCCTTCCTCTCTCATCATCATCCCTCTCTAGTCACCTTCTCCTGCTCTTTCTCCCCTCCAGTGGCGAGTGCTGTAATTGATATGCCACGGGCAATAAATCAGCACAGCTCTAGGGCTGAGCAGCAACCATTATCTGAACGGACAGGTTTAGCTGCTTTGGAGAAGAGGGTGAGAGAGGGAGAGTTGATCCAGCTCAGCTCACAAGAGTCACCAGCAGCTCACCACATCACCAGCTTCTGGAATTTTCCTCACAACGTAAACAAGAACACACCACTACCACCTCAGGATCCCCGCCACTTAAGCCAAATAAACAAAAGGAAGTAAAGCTGTGGAAGGACCCTTCCTTTCTAAGCTTTTCCCTCTCTGTTATGTCTTCTACCTCCCTTTCCATCCCTCATTCTAATTCGCAGTGTCCATAGGGATGCAGTACAGTCCTGTCAATTGATAGTGCGTCCAGATATCAAATCCAATCAACTTGGCCCCTTACAGCCCGTCCTCTCTAATGGTTTTCCCTCATGTGATAACGGCCTTGGCTCCCCGATACGGTGGCTGCCCATTCCCAAAGCCACAGACACGCTCCAGCCCAAAATGATTGACATGTTTTTCCTTGATGGTGCCAGATATGGCTCGCAAACCTTGTTCCAGCCTTCTTCCCACCATTTCACTTGAGCTCCGGAGGAAATTGAAATTGAAGAGGGTTTGGAGGGATGAAGAGGGAAAGAGAAAATAGAGAAATTTGAGAAAAAAGAGGAATGTGTGTAAGAAGCTGAGGGATTGACTATATCCTGTTCAGTTGGACATATCTGGAAGTTGAAGGATTGAGCAAAAGAGTTGGTTCTTTTTATCCATCCTGGTTCCTCTCGTTAGTTTTTGAATTTGTATTATGGCGTTGGATAACTCCACGCTGTATTGTGTTTGTTAAAGTGTGTGTCGTGATGTCATGGTGTTATTACTGGGATAGATAACAAGCAGCTGGAGACCCCCAGATGCAATTTGTTGTGCAATTCACACTCTCTTACATCAAGCCGCGGCTGGCCTAAATGAAGAGGAATTACTGTAGGGACGATTTTTTTCACGCTCTCTCTCTCATTCTTTATCAGACTCTCTCATTTGCTCGCTCACTCACTCATTCTGCCTCATCGTATTTTTCCCTCTTTTGGAAATGACAAAGGAAAATGAGGCAGCCGGCCTCCCTACGTGCCACAGCGCTTTAAATTGACATCTGGTCTCGTCGCGCGGCGCGACTGTACCATTGAGCAAGAAATTAGTTTTTTTATAGGCTGGCTCGTCGCTTTATTGCAGCTGCTTATGTCGAAGAGGCTGCGATCTGCGTCAAGTCGTTTTAATCTCACAGAGTGGAGAGCGGGGGTATATCTGATAACTGTAGCTCAGGCCCTTCTGTCTGCAGTTACCGCACTGAGGTGCCTCGATCTGCGGGGCTCCCCTGGTGTTTGATTCAAGCGCAGGTAAAGCTCTTGATTAAAATGCAGCAGAAGGGCTGCCATTTGTTTGGCTCCCGCTGCTCCTCACTCACCACTCTGTTCTTCTCTCTATGTCTTTCTGTCCATGCAGTTTCTCTTCCTCGCTGTCTTTCTTTTTTCTTTCTCACTTTGTTTTTTCCTCTCTCCTATACATTTGTCTTACCCCGGCTTTTCATTTGTGGAAATTGGATGACACCACCTCTACCTGAACCGGGCTAGCTCTGTCTCAGCTGAGCTATGGTTTGCTATTCCATGAACATCGCCTCTACTATTTCTCTCCTCTCCTCCTCCTCTCTCTCTCTC